CGATGATGTTCGTAATATGACGAACGAAAGCTTAGCATCTTTTCACCGTAATCGAAGGAGATTGCCTCGGAAACAGCGTCAGTATGAAGCTTCCAGTAAAGTCAATTGACAGCTGGTTATATTGAGATTTTCGATTAGGCAAACCTGCGTTTTCCATTACAATCGACTTGTAAATCCAATTCGGGAAGCATAATGGATTTCTATTACCGCAGGCCTTACCTTATTAACAAAATCGTCGTGACAACAATACAATTTAAATATCTCGAAATAATTTGGCTCTAGGATTTAATTATATATCGAGTTAATTGTAAAGATTAGGCTTGCATATTAAACAAAACATTTCTTAGCGCAAAAAAAAGGGCACATATTTTGATGAGTTGAATATAAATAAGTCAGAAGTTGGACAAGGTAGTAAAGAGGGCCAGAACAAAAAGAGGAGTGATAGTGTAACCGTTTCGGCAGAACGTTGGTCGAGGGATTGATTTGTCTCTGGCGCGTTTTAAGCTTGGTGTGGAGAATGGCAGCACTCACTGTTGATGCCGCCTACGATGCCGGCCAAACGTCTGAGAATGTACCAAGTCCACTGTCTAATGCTGGGACATATAATAACTACTAAGGCAGAGGACTTCTGACAAGGTGCATTATAATAAGTCACCCTGACAACAAGACCAAGTTGCGACAACGAAGTCAACCCACTTCTATAAATAGAAAAGAGACTGCGACCATCTTGGTCTCTATATCTTCGATTTGCTATATTGCCTATCCAAACGGTATAATAGATTGTAATCATACAAGTATTTTGGTATCTATTCGAAAATAAAGTTACATGAGATTCGGTCTTTCTATTAAACTCCTAGGCGTTCCAGTGTCTGACTGGCTAGACAAGATAAATAAGTTCAGAATTCCCTGGATTTTGTACGTAATCCTATGGCTGATCCATTCTTTACGAATATGCCGTTGTGCAGCTTCCAGATGTGCAGTCTATTTGTGACTAAAACCTTGATGCCTAAGAGCATATCGTGATATCACTCATCAGCGTATCATTGG